TTAATCTACTTTGGGGAGTTTTGAGGGATTCCCAAGATAGCTCTTGAGTTGTTGTGTGGGATAAAGGGAGAGATTTTTTAAGAACATATTTACTCTCCAGTACAGGAAGGAATCCTGAGTTTAAATATTCCAAGAAAGCTGGGTCTTTCCCTCCCCAAAATAGACTGAGTGTGGAAGATGAGTTTCTGTCAACATTTGGTCGTGAAAGATCTATTCAAGAGCAGCCTTAGCTTAAATCCCATTCTGCCTGTGTTACCCAGGCTGCTGGCAAGACTTTTCTAGATCTTTTGCAGCCTCTGTGCTGTTTCAAACACACATCTTGGCCCACTGTTTCCAGCTTCATTCATTTTTTGCCACAGTTAAACCCAAAAGGAACCTTAACAGAGCTTCTCTCTCTCCCTCTGTTTCTCTCAGCATTGTGGTGTTTCTCTAATGATATGTATGATGCTATTCTCATTGTGTCAGGAACCAAATATTTCTATGAAATGTATTAGAAATGAGAACTCCCTGTATTGTCAGTGTAAAAATATGCTGAAGACATGCATGACTAAACAGGCAAATGTAATTTAGCTACTGGGAAGTTTAATATTGGAGATGCCTTGTACTGACTGACAGTAGTATAAATGGCGAACAGACCTCTGCAAACATTTGCTGTCCTTACTCTTCACTTCTTAGATTCCTAAGAGAAAGTTAGTTGAGAACAGTGTTACAGAGCTATAAGAAATAATCTTAAGTGTCTCCCAAGCCCTTTTCTTTGTGTAATAGGATCACAGATATCTCTAGATCTTTTTCTAAACAGGCTTCGAAGGCAGCATAGTTTATTGGTATTAGAAAAGCCCTATTACCACTGTAGATAGAGGGGAATTTTAGTAGCAATGACATTATTATTCTACCTAAATCAATAGAGGAAGTTTTTATCTTATTTAGGAAAAAACTGGCTGTGACTGCTGGATGGTGGGTGGGAAAAGAGATAGAGGTGCCAATTAGACTAGTAGCTAGATCTAGAGTAAAATATAAAGGTCTAAAAATGGGATAGGCATATTTGAAGGTGCAACCCTCAAACTCTCTGCTTGCCCCCCAGTCACTAAAGGTTTCATTGCAGATTGTTTTGTAATGTTATTTGCCAGCCATCCAATGCACTCTTCCTTTGCCCAAACAGCAGCATACTTGGTCTTGGCAGCGATAAGCAACTTAACATTTGGCTCATGAGGAAAAGGTCTTTTGGGGACTTCCCTCAACCCGTGTCTCTTAATTTGGTGGTGGTATTCAGAATGCACGTACTGCAAACTTCCTATATCAGGTGATCACCTGAACACTGAATAGCTATTGATCCCCAATACAATTAATGTTTTCTGAGGAAGAAAAGGCACCCCTAGATCTCAGTCTCCAGAAAATGTATCCTAATTGATAGAGCACCCTCAATTGCCTTTCTCTCTGGCTATTCATTTGAGCTTCAGCTCAACTTTTGAAATCTCACGTTTCCATGAGGGACTGAGGGTGCTTCCAGAAGACTTAGAGCTTCGTGGTTAGAAGCTTCCTGAGAAGTGAATGGCCTCTGCTCTGTGAATGGACTCTTCTAAGGGGTCTGATAATCTTCTAATCAGTTTAGACATTTACCTGAGGCACTGGTTTACTTTGAGGGCTAGGGGCCTTAAAATCGTGTGTTGCATAGCCAAGCATTGCATTGCATGTCGCCTTATAGATAATTCCCAATATGTCAAATAGATGTCTGAAATCATAGAAGCAGAAGGAAAGAAGACTTTTAAAGTGGTACCTATGATGCCACCCAGTCAACACAGGGATGTTCCGCAGTAGTTAGTGCAGTCTTCTAAAATGCCATTTAAAAATGAACTCCCTATGGGAAAAGCAAAAAATAAGAAAGCCTGAAGATCTTTGAAATGCTTTTGTTTATTAGGAAAGCCCACTTTGTGGGGTCAAGGGGGAGGGTAAAGAGCTTCCTCCAACCATTACAGCTCCATCAAATGCAATATTACTCCAGTAATGATTGTGATGCCTAATAGTCACGGACAGCAACTTTATTCATCCCAGAAATACACAAAGACAGACAGCACTGCAGTCTCTAAGATACGAAGCTTTCTCTGTTAAATTTGCCATGGATGGTTGGATTCATCAGTTTGCATGCATCTTTGACTGATAGATCATGCTGGATGCTTTAGGCAAACACACACTAATTAGTAGAACAAATAGAAAACCCCGAGGATGCCCATGCTTAATGACATTGCCCATATTCTAAACCGTCTCTATGACAAATTACTCATTTTGTGGCTGTAGGCAGTGCAAGTTAATTTATCTGTATCAGTTGCGAAGTTGAAGCATTCACTTTTAACAAGACACACTGTTTTATACCTTTCTAGGAAACTTTCCAACACTTTAGTTTTTAAACAGAAAAGAAATTGGAAGTAAAAGGCCAGGCTAATTCAGGGATAAAAAAGTAAGAGATAGGATCAATTGTAAGTTTAAAGAGTCAATAGATGCTCATGAATTAGTTAACTTTTAATTAGTTTGGTACCATATAAAAATCAAAAAATTGTGAAGAGGACTTAAAATGAAATCCTCGGAGGACAGTTGAGTTAGAACCCAGAACTCTGGCTCTGAACAGAGGCGGACTGTGCAGAAGTGTGTGTGGTTCTCCTTGTGAATGCTTCAGTCAGGTAATTGCTTTTCAGTCAATCTCAGCAAAAGAAATGAGAAGTCAAGTATGGAGAATGAAGCAAATTCACAGGCATCTTATACCAGTATGGTTATAGTTGTCTTGTTATTTTCAGTTGTGTATTGGTTTGCTTTTCTTTACTGATACATTTGACTGAAGAACCTGGGTAAAGATAACCTTGTTCTCATAAAATGAATGAACTGAACATAGCAGTTAAATGATACCCAAGAGTCTATGACATTGCTGAACTTTAGTCCCATAATTACCTAAATGAACATGGGTCTTCAGAAGCATGCTACCATATATCCTGTGTAACCAAGCCAAGTCAAAGCTTCAGTAGTAAAAGCAGACTGAATATTTTTGCCCTAAAGATGATAGGTCAAGTTGTCCTCATACTGGCAGGTGGATAGGAGAGGAACAGTGAAGGGAGAAGATTGAGTGGCAGCAAATGACCTGGCAGATCACACTGGAAAGTCAGGATTGCTCTTTCTGCATCGTTCCGCAGGATGAGAGGAACAGAAAAAGCAGCTTGTGCTTTTATCCTCTCATCGTCGGACCCTTCTCTCAGCCGTGGAAGTCTCTACAGTCAGCCTGGCTCTTCAAGTAGTCTGGCAGAAGCAACGTAAATGGTACCGTGGCCACTTTTGCAGGTGCGTGCCAAAGACTTGGATGTTACCATTCAGCACCTTTACAAAAGCTTTGACTGCCACCTCTTCAGAAGCATGTGGATAAACATTGTAAATAACTCCATATTTGTAATAAAAGCTAAAATCTCATCCAACTGTTAACATTACCTATCTTTACTGAACATATATTTTGAGGCTGTGCTGGTTTACATTCTTTATAAACATATAACATAAAGACTTAAAATATAGACAACCTTACAGTAGCAAAGCTCTTGGCAGGTAACCTTCCAGAAAGTAAAATGTTCAGCATTGTCACAGAGATGTTGATGAAGAAACAGCTTTATTTGGCATACAACACTAAGTTGTTGCTAAACAACTTCTAAAGGTCGGTTTGGAACCTAAAAATTTGCAAATCTGAAATTAGTAAATGCCTTAGTAAGTGCCAGGAGAGTTTCAAGCTGCTTGCTCTTTCCCATACTTCCTGGGAAGTTGTGCTTAAATGCAGTTGCATTCATCAATCTGCTACAGTCTTGTCCCAGAGAAAGTGGTTAGAAAGGGTTTTGTGCTGTCTTGTACACTGAGCATCCTGAAAGCATTCAGGTCCTGACTGGGGACATTCCTTTCCAACTTTCCCTTCCACTTACAAAGCAGTGGAAGGAAGGAGAGAAGAGTGGTATCCGGGGATCAAAACACTGGATTTGGGGACCCCAGGGGTCCCAGTTCCCTTTTTTCCCCCACTGCTGTAAACTACTTTGGTGGATTTAGATAAGTCAGTCAGTGTCACTGTGCCTTGGTGTGCCTTGTATAAAGGCAAAATAATGAGACCTGCTTTCTCCTCTCTCTATCTCTTTGGGATTTTTCCAAGTATCAGAGCAGACCTCCCATGTTCGCTTAGGTGTTGTGTGCGCGTGCATGTGCCCTTGCATAGCCTGCAACTCTGATATGCACACTTGCAGGTTGATGTAGAAATGAATCTCATGTTTCTGGCACATCCACCTCTCTGCATCTCTCTCCTCTGTGGTACGAGATGCTTACACCCCAGAAGCTGCCGCCGATGCTCCCTACTTGCCGAGTGTGCAAAGAGTGAGCGGTTGTCTCGGTCCATTGGCGCTGATTTAGTTGATAATGTTTACCGCGTCTGTTGGTTTGGAGAAGGATGGGGGTGGTGGGGTGCCGGGAAATTCTTGGAGCCCTGTTATCCCTACAGTAACTATAGACTTGGGCAGGAAT